AGGAGGAGGAGGAGGAGGAGGAGGAGGAGGAGGAGGAGGAGGAGGAGGAGGAGGAGGAACCCGCGCCTCGAAGGGGAGGCCCCCGCTCCCCGCCTGCACCGAGCCGCGCTCGCCGCGCCGTCCACGGCCGCCCGCCGGGCCAGTCCCGAGGAGCTCGGCGGAGGAGACGTCCACTGCGCCGCTGAAGTGCGAAACTTCGTTGAAGCAACTTCCTTGGAGAAGAAGTCGGCGACGGCCAGGCCGGCAGAGTTGGAGTTGGCGTCGAGTCGAAGTTGGCGGTCATGATGTCCTTCTTGCCCTTGACATGAACCAAATTCTCCACCAGAGCTGTGAGAGACAAGCTGCAGCCACGAAGCGGAAAGCATCATCTCGTCGCAGGAACGGCGCGCCAGGTACCACCCAACGATGTACATGTGGATGTGGGGTCGCGGGGACCCAACACCGTCCCCACCTCCCACGATGTCGCCACGCGCGCCACCCAGTAAAGCAGTGACGTCATCATCATACCCATCGTCGGGGTCATCGCTGTCACATTGTACACAGCAAGCGCCCACCAGAGAAGAACCCTCAGCGTTACCACGTACTGTTCCTGCGGCAAAAGAAGCGCAATCAAAGACGCGATCACCATCATCCGCATCAGCACGAGGAGTACTGCCGTAATGCGCAGCGGGGTCGTGACGTACAACGCCGACCAGGGACATGAGGTAAACATGGAATTATTGAGACAGCCTTGCTGCAGCAGCGAAAGTGAAGTAAACCAGAAATCCGAAGGGGAAGGGACCTTTGGCAACACCTGATCACGAAGGTGCGCATCGAGGCCTCAATCACACGCGTGCCGCTCATTACGAATGGGGGACAATAGCAGGTCTGTCTCCCGCGCATCCACCAGCATCGTGTCGTACCGCGCCGTCTGTCAATGAGCACCTGCGTGAAACGAGGAGCATGGGTGTCTTCATCAGCAAAGCGGAGGCTGAATCTCGTGCACTCCCCACAAGAGAGTGGGGTCAGCAGCTTGGGGAACAAGAGCCCCACGATGGACCGCCCGCTTAACGGCGCCAGAAGAAGCCATTGCAGAGTGATAAAGCGAACGCGGCCCGCAACTGTCGGCGCCCACATGTGATCATCTTGCGGTCGCTCACCTCGCCGGAATGAATCACGCTGACGGCCGATAACTGCGCCGACAAGGGGAATGCCCTCATGCAGTGCTTGCTGAGAAGCGGCAGCCTCGGCGAGCTCGCCACCGTAATCATGCAGAGCATCGCTGCCATGCTGGGGGGCGGCGCATGCATCGTGGGGGCGTTCAGCAGAGGCGAGGTTGCCACCGCATTGATGCAGATCAACACTAGCGGGCTGGAGGTCGGCTCCAGGAGGTAGTTCATCGATGGCAGGATCGCCCTCGCACTCATGCAGATCAGCGCGTTCAGGAATAACGTCGGCACGGGCGCCGGGGGGCAGTCCATCGCTGGCGGCATCGCCAACATGTATAATCAAATCAGCGCTTGCAGGAGGAGGGTCGGCACGAACATGAGGACGTGGTGCAGCGCAGGCGGGGTCGCCGCCACAATCTTGCATGTCAGCGCTCTGTTGGGCGTCGGCAGTGTGGGGGCCAATATTCTCATGTGGGACGTCGGCGCCGCGGGGCTCAGCACAAGGACGCGCGGGGACACCAGGTGCAGAAGCAACCGCGCCCTGAGACAAGGCATAAATCTCAAGAGCACTCCGACCGGCAGCACGCAACACAGGGAAGTAGCTAGCGGCGTCGCCGAAGCAAGGTCCAGACGTAGCCGACTTAGGCGAACGTGCTCCACAACGACTGCGGCCTCGGTGATTCCTTCGAGGTCGGACTATCTGCAGCCATCGTCATTGAAGCAAGCAAGGAAATATCAGAGTGCGACTTTCGTCGCGGTCCGCGGGCCAACGTCGGGGACCTCCAAGCGATGGAGCTCGAATATCTTGGGCGAGCCACGACAATGCAGGCCCCGACGAGGCGTATCAGCGGCACCACCCTGACCAGAAGCCCTTCACGATGAGCGTCACAAGCACCAGGGGGAGGACGGCCGCCGCAAGAAGCAGCGGCTGCAGGCCCACGCTGGGCGGATTCACACTCATTCGCATCGCCGCAAACTTGCCCATGAAGGGTGGTTTCGGAAAAGGCCTCGTACAGATCACAGTCGTCAGATTCGGCAGGCGGCGCAGAAGCAAGGCCATCGCACGCGTCAGCGATGGCGCCGAGGGGCGCACCGCGCGTAGACGGCGGTGGAGAAGCAGGCGACGCAACGCTCGAGGCGCGCGGGTGCATCGGCGGCGATGAAGACGACGCAGGGGAAGCGCGCGCGCAAGGCGGCGAAGAGGGAGAAGACAACGATCCAGCAAACGTACCATCAGGCAAGGATGCGTCCCGCTCATCCTCGAAGCCGGTGTGCGCCAGCTTGTGTGTGTTCAACTCCGCAGTCAACGACGCGTTGGATATCACTTTCGCAACGCACTCCGATAGGCATGATACTCGGCAAACGCACGAACTGGGCGACCATCTGCAACCTGTGTGGCATCGTCAACGATGCAATCGAACAAAACATGCGAAACAAGCAATCCGCAGACCGTGACGAAAGCGTTTGGCACCCGATGTTTGGCGCGGCCACCCTGTATGTTGATGGCTCGCATCTGATCGATCGAGTCGGCGTCGCACTGGGGGGTGGTATACAGGGAAGCATCTTGCAGATCGTGCGCGTGAGCTCCAGATGCCGTCTGCACCACAGAGTGCGCGGCGAGACCCTTTACGACATCCTTGGCGCTGGAGGCCAAATGCAACTGTACGGCGATGTGGCGCATCCCAGAGGGACGAGCCTGCAGATGCATCCGTTCGCGAGCGCGGGCACGGCTAATTCTCAACTTCAAAGGCGACCTGCCGTGCACCTGGCAGAAAGTCACTCCAGCGAACAAGCGCCACACGAACTGGAGGCGGCGCCCACTACAGCATGCGGGGGGACGTGAGGCGCGTGCGGGCCCCCCACCTAGCATCTGGCTTGAGCCAACATGGCTACCGAAGGAGGAGGAGGAGGAGGCGGAGGAAGAGGAGGAGGAGGAGCGAGCGAGCGAACCTCGAGGAATCCACAATCATCCTGCATCTACAATGTCACTACGCCGAACTCGTGTCGTGACTCCATTGCAGACAGGCTTGGATTCTGAGACGGGACCTTGCATCCCAACGCGGAGGAAAAATAAACGACTCTGCATGCCCTGCCTGCGCTCCCCTTCGGGGCACGGGCCCGCGAACGCCCCCCCTAAAGCACGCAGCCCTACGGGGGGCGCCCGCTCAGGCGCTCGCCCGCCGTCGCGACGTCCGCGCCCGCCACGTCTGCTCGGCGCGCCTCGGCCGTGGCCAGGAAGGTAGACCAGCGGGTGGACAGGCAGATCTTCGTCAGCGTAGCTACTTGCCAGCACGGCCCCAGATCGAGCCATAGCCGCGGTCTCTGCACTGATGCTGCCTCGAGCTTCCAGCTCCGCCAATCTCTGAGAGCTGCTAACACATTGCCCCCGTCTCCTGTCAATGCCTCCGACACGAGGCGCCAGAGCGGAATGAGCTAATTCGCGTGGTTCACCATCTTCGCGATCTCCCTCTCGAGCGGGCCCCTGGGTGCCGAGCCGTGCACTGCCGTCCCGCCCACGTACTGGATCGCATTCCTGATGTGCGGGCGGCAAGCCAGGGCCAACTTCGACTCCTGGTTGAAGTTCGTGCTCACCAGGCATGCTGCTCCTGGCCCTCCTCCTTGCGCAGCACCTTCAGCCTGAAGTACAGCACCGCCTCCGCGATGTCCTCCATGCCGCTCGAGGCGATGTGGTTGGTCCACACCTCCTTGGCCTCGAGCGCGTTGGTCTTCTCTTCCTCCTGCCCCTCCGCCGCCGTGCGCTCCGCCACGTACTGGAACGCCGCCAGGAACACGTGAATGTGCGGAGGGCCTCGTTTCTTGTACTGCTCCTGCGAGGCGCCTGACTCCTTCATGGACTTGCTGTCGTTCTCGTATTTCTTGCCCGCCGCCTGCATGGCGGCGGGGAGCCCCCTCGAGAGGGGCATCATGAAGGTCACGTATACCACTGCCGCCAATTCGGCAACCGCTCGAGCCTGCGCCAGCACCAAGCGCCCGATGGCCGTCAGAAGCTTCATGAGTTCGTCCTTCTCGCCCTTCTTGCCCTTCTTGGCGACGTTTCCCTCGCCTCCTGCCGGCCCCGTGCCCCGTGCTGCTGCCTGCCCCCGGGGGGCTGGACCACGACGGCATCGCCAACGACATCAGTTCCGAAGGCTCGGGTTGGGTGCGTCGCTGGCGCCTGCTTCAACGTCGCCGGAAGATGGCTGAGGAGATGGCTACAGTGAGCGGGGAGATCCTCAGCTTCATGACCGCACATCGGGCACTGCAGGGACTGGGGCTCCCGAAGGGTCTCATTGCTCCGCGGTGTGGCCCCCAAGGCTCCCTTGTCACATCTCCCTCGCCTGATCGCCGCCTCCAGATGACGTGCAGCCGTGGTGCGGGTCTTAAACACCTGTCGGCACCCAATGCAGATATTCGTCGGTGTCATCACATGCGCAAGATTGTGGAGGTGGTGTTTTTGGGTCATGTGTTTGAGGAGGGAGGTCTGGGTAGAGAAACAAGCCCCACATAGTTCCCCATCGTCCGTCCGCACCTCACATACATAAGCCCCGTCGTCGTCAACCCCCTCCGTCGTAACAGCCGTCTCGTCTGCACAAGGTCCTGCTGGGAAGGCCCCCACTGTCACATCCGCAGGCGGTGGGATCTGCACGGTATTCAGTGCTGCTCGCAACCTCCCAAAATCCAAAGCGAGGAGGAGGAGGAGGAGGAGGAGGAGGAGGAGGAGGAGGAGGAGGAGGAGGAGGAGGAGGAGGAGGAGGAGGAGGGGAGGACGAGGAGGAGGAGGAGGAGGAGGAGGAGGAGGCGGAGGAGGAGGAGGAGGAGGGGAGGAGGAGGAAGAGGAGGAGGAGGAGGAGGAGGCGGAGGAAGAGGAGGCGGAGGAGGAGGAGGCGGAGGAGGAGGAGGCGATTTCATCCAGTCCTGGCCCCGCACGACCCAAGGGCCCCGCGGAGCTGCGAGCTGCCGCAGAAAACTGGGGAGAAGGAGGAGGAGCCCAGCGTACCAGGAGGGAGAATGATGATGATGATGATGATGATGATGATGATGATGATGATGATGATGTGATGATGATGATGATGATGATGATGATGATGATGAGATGATGAGAGAGGAGGAGGAGGAGGAGGAGAGGAGGAGGAGGAGGAGGAGGAGGAGGAGGAGGAGGAGGAGGAGGAGGAGGAGGAGGAGGAGGAGGAGGAGGAGAGGAGGAGGAGGAGGAGGAGGAGGAGGAGGGAGGAGGAGGAGGAGGGAGGAGGAGGAGGAGGAGGAGGAGGAGGAGGGAGGAGGAGGAGGGGAGGAGGAAGGATGAGGAGGAGGAGGAGGGGAGGAGGAGGAGGAGGAGGAGGAGGAGGGGAGGAGGAGGAGAGAGAGGAGGAGGAGGAGGAGGAGGGAGGAGGAGGAGGAGGAGCACCTCGGGCCGCCATCCGAAGGCGAGAGCGCGAGAGGAGCCAGCGCTTTCTCTTGGCTCCGCGGGCGGCAGGAGCAAAACAGCAGGCGCCGGGAGGCAGAGGCGTCGGCTCTGTCCACGCAGCTATTCGCCCCTTCCCCCCCTGCTCCTGCGCCTGCCGGCCCTCCTCCTCCGACCGGGGCAGACTCCTCCTCCGTCTCCTGGCCCTTACTGTTGCTCCTGCTCCTGCTCGTCCTCCTCCTCCTCCTCCTCCTTCTCCTCCTCCTCCTCCTCCTCCTCCTCCTCCTCCTCTCCTCCTCCCCTTCCCCCCTTCTCCTCTGCTGCTCTCCTCTTCCTCCTGCTCCTCCTCCGCTCCTCCTCCTGCTCCTCTCCTCCTCCTTCTTCTCTCCCCTCCTTTCCTCCTCCTCCTCCTCCTCCTCCTTCTCCTCCTCCTCCTCCTCCTCCTCCTCCTCCCAATGAAGCAAGCCCACCACCACCGCCTGGGCAAGATCAACCAACATCGGAGCGAGCAATCGGATCGAATCGGAACGTGCGTCGGATCGGGCTGCATCAGCACCGAATCGAACTCGAATCGGATCGGCCGAGCCGAGACGAACAACAACGCCACGCGAGCATCGGGACGCACTGGATCGGCGGAATTTGAAAACCTGATCAGATCAAGGTGGCCAGAACCGACTTCGAATTGGTTAGATCGGATCCAAATGGACCTTGACCTCGGCTTTCGGGCCATAATTTGTGTCTCCGGCGGCTGTTCGGAACGATCCAGGCACCCCGGGGACGCTCTCGGCGAGGCGCAGCTGCTGGAGCGAAGCCCGAGGCAGGAAGACTCTCAGGAACCAACGAAAACGTCCGACACCTCCAGACACCCACACCCCCACGACGACGTCCAAAAACGGCCGACAGCGTCGGGCGAACACCTCCCCCGATCCTGGAGTGTGCAAGGCTCGCCGATCTTATGCGCGCAGGGGTGCAGTGCATCATGGGGTGCAACAAGTCGGCGGCGGGACAAGCCCTCGCGCCTTCTGAGAAATTCTCTGTGTCTTCGGGGCAGGCTCAGAACACTTCTCAGAAGGTCGTGGGACTTCCGAGCCTTCTGAGAAGGCCCGCTCCCGATCCTGGAGGGTGCAAGGCTCGCCGATCTTCGGCGCGCAGGGGTGCAGTTCGTCGTGGGGAACACCGAGTCGGCGGCGAGCGAGGGGGTAGAAGTGAGAAGGAGAAGGCCTTCTCAGAAAGCGGCGGGGCTCCTCAGAAGCCCTCGGGCCTTCTGAGAGATTCTCTGTGCCTTCGGGGAGGGCTCAGAGAAAACTTCTCAGAAGGCCACGGGACTTCCAAGCCTTCCGAGAAGGCCCGCCCCTTCCCGCTTCCCCCCCCTTGCTCACCGCCGACAGACATTTTTGGTAATCCTGGGGCGCCCTCGTTGCCAGAGCGGGATCCGCCTCGAAATTCTGGAGGCAGTTCACCCGAGGAGGAGGAGGAGGAAGAGGAGGAGGAGGGGGAGGAGGGGGAGGAGGAGGAGGAGGAGGAGGAGGAGGAGGAGGAGGAGGAGGAGGAGGAGGAGCAAGATGAGCAGGATGGGAGATTTCCAAGGGCCGCCCCCCCAGGCTCGCCGCCGAACGAGACCCAGAGGAAGACTCAGGGCGGCTCCGTGGGACGGATCGACGACGCGAGGCACCAGCACCCAGCAGCTCTGGCGGCCGAGCACTGCAGGGACGCCATGGCAGGATCCACCGCAGGCAGCGGCGACGCCAGGGCAGGGGCGGAGGGCGTCCCCCTGCTGAAGACCAGCGGAAGACCACAGGGGAGATGATCACGGAGCCTTCCGAGATCAGAGGCCTCCTGGACGACCAAGTGGGCGAGCACGAGAAGAAGCGGCTGCCGAATAAGACGAACTGCCTCACCAAGCAGATGGACGAGCACTTGAAGGAGTTCAAGATGTGCGAGGACACGCACAAGCCAGAGCGAGAGATCGACGATCCGCCTGCGTGGATCCAATACGGCTGGGTACCGAAAGACGAGAGCAGGTGGATCGATTACGGCATGCAGTTGGCAGGGAAATGAAAAGATAACGAAGATTCCACGCCGCCAGCGGACTTGCACCAGCCAGGATGGAAGAAGCCGGAGTGGAACGCCAATGATCCAAGTACTTGGGCGCACTACGGATGGGTGGAGCCGGACGAACCGAAGTTGGTGAACCTCGGAATCCCAAGGGGACCACACTGTCGAAGCTGGAGGATGTAATCTCGCCGAGGAAGAATACCAAGACATCCCCAGGGCCCAAGACTGCACTCAGTGATAGGGAACGAGCACAACAAAGCCAGGCAATACTGACGACTGGCGAGGAACAATAACAGCTGTGGGAACCAACTGCGACGGCGGTAGACATCAACATGCAAGAATGGAGGGTGAAGTGAACAGCAACGACCGTGTGGTGGAACTGCAGAGGACAAATGATATGGCGGTATGATTGTGAGACGAGGGAGCAACAAAGGAAGGGAGAGCCAACATGAATATACAGAATCTGGGAAAGCAATCAGGGCCTGGAAACGCGACTATACGATAGCACAGGCACCGGAAATGCAATCAGGATCAAACGACTCTAGAAGGCCTCTAGATGACACCCCGCCGACTCCCACAACTAGCGTCGAGCCACGCCTTTGCACAGCTAATCTCAACATCAGAAGTATGGCTCAGTGTTTTGTTTTTTGCTTCAGCGCGGAGGTAGCAGGCGCCTTGGAGCTGCCTGAGGCGGAACTAGTTCTTGATCCTCCCCAGGCCCCTTGCTTCTCCCTCCTCCCGCCTCTGCCCCCCTGGCGTCTCGCGCTGCCCTGCTCGTCCGCCCTGCCGTGCCCTGTCCGTCTGCTGCCTGTCCCCCTCCTCTCCTCCCTTCCTCCCGCACTCCGCTGGCCCTGCGGGGTCTCTCCCTCCATCCCCCCTTCTCTTCCTCGCCCCATCCGAGGAGGAGGGAGGAGGAGGAGGAGGAGGAGGAGGAGGAGGAGGAGGAGGAGGAGGAGGAGGAGGAGGAGGAGGAGGAGGAGGAGGAGGAGGAGGAGGAGGAGGAGGAGAGGAGGAGGAGGAGGAGGAGGTCGGGCCGTCCCCCCTCCGCTCCTCTGCCTGCTGGTCCCCCTTCTTTCGCCCTCGAAGTGGTTGTTTGGGTGGGGTGGGGGTGGGGGGGCAGGCGGGGCCCCGGGCCACGGGCCGGGAGCGGCGGGGAAGGCAGGGCAGGGGAGCGTGCGTGGGCCGCCCCGCCTCTCCAAGCACAAGGCGGCAAACAACTTCGGTACCGTTAGTCAACGATGTCCGGCGGCGGCGGGACATCGATGCTGAGGCAACGCAGGGGTGTGACTAAATCAACTAACTCTTTCTGCCCCCCTCTCCCCGTCTCTCTCGTCGTCGTGGGGATGGTCGTTGCCGTTCCCTCCCTCCCCCCTTGGCTCGGGAGGGCGCCTCCCCTCCTGGTGCGTGCGCCGCCCCGCCTCTTCAGGCACGAGGCGCCAGCCCTCTCTGCCCCCGCCCCCCCGTCACTTTCTAGAGGCCTCCTGGATGGGGTCCTCTTTTAACCCGCAAATTCAACCACTGGTTCTGTCCCTGCAAGAGCAGGGTCTAGCACAAGGCCTGAGCGTGGCGAAACCCAGGCTCCAGCAAGAAATAAGCCCGACGAGTAATCTGAAGGGTCGGAGGATCGCGCCGCATCGCCGATGCATCGGCGCCGTCTGCGTGGAGAAAATCGGTCTCTACACCGAGCCGCATCGCCGATGCATCGGCGATGCGGCGCGGTCCTCCCGCCCCACCTATTCCGACCCCATCGTCGTCGTGGGAGTGGCCGTCGTCGTTCCCTCCCCGCCTGGCTCGGGAGGGCCTCCCCGCCCCCAGAGCAGGGCGGAGGGGCCTCCCCCTCGAGCTGCGAAAGGCAGGGCTCGAAGGGGAGCCTCCTGCGACGGACCCCCCGCTGCGGCTTTCTCTGCTTAGGTCCCAAGGGCCGCCCCAGGCATGCCTCAGCGATAGCAGGGACCGCATCCATATCTTCGCAGAGGCACTCCATAGTTCACGGCCCTCTGTATAGGGGCTGCCGCGCGGACTCGCCTCCAACGCGCTTGACCTTAACCTCCTCTCCTCCCTACTCTTCTTTCTCCTCTTCTTCTTCTTATTCATTTTTTGTCGTCTTATTCTTCTTCTTCCTCTTTCTCCTCCACCTCCACCTCCACCTCCACCTCCTCCGCCTCCTCCTCTTCCTCCCCTGTCTTCTCCTTTCCTCCCCATCTCCACCCGCACCCACAAATGCTCGCTTCAAATGGCGGGGGTGGCCGTGGAGAGCAGAACACGGCTGGCAACGCGGGGCGCCGTACACCGAGAGCATCGGCCCAGAGGCATGCGCGCGCAGGGTCCACGCGCCGTGCTCTGCGCCTCGGGGAGGGCGGTGCCCGAAGAGCACAGGTGGAGGCCTCCGAACTCGAGACGAGTCGATAGGGTCGGAGGGTCGCGCCGCATGGCCGATGCATCGGCGACGTCGGCGTGGAGAGCAATGGGCCCCACATCGATGCATCGGCGATGCGGCGCGATCCTCTGGCCTCATCAACTCGGGTCCGATCCGGGAGGCCTGGAACACGGGGGGAAATCAGAGTATGTCCACCAGAGGAAGGCAAGACGAGACAACGGCGGTCCCACCCTGGCGTTTTGCGTCCATGCTGGGCCTCCTGGAAGCTCCTCGTCGCCCCCGCCGGCTCCGCCTCGGCCAGCGTGTCAGGATGGACCCCAAGAGGGGTCTGGGCACTGATTTCGAACGGCCCTGGCCTGGGTGGAAGAGCCGCTGTGGTTTCAGCGGGCCCTCCTCCGAATCCAACCGCGTCTTCTGACGGGGCCACGGGAACCTTCCTTGGCGCGTCCGTCGCCATCGTTCGGACGCCCAGTCCCCGTGATTATTCGGATGCCGTTTTTGTTTTAATTGTTTTGAACGACTTTCTTGTTTCTTTCGCAAGATGGGCCAACGTTCTCCTCTGTGGTCCCAGCCAAGGAAACATGTACACTTCTGAGCGACGCCAAGACCTTCTGACGCCTCGGACTGAATCGTTCGGGGACCTGTCGCTGCGGGGGCCCTGCCGTGGCCACGAAAAAACCCTGGCACATCCCGACGCAAACTGACTTGATTGCGGCTCCGACAGGCGAATCTTTTTGTTGATGGTCAACAGGGACTTCAGGATTACGGTTCAGGCGAAACGCAATTATATATATAAGCATATATATAACAATAAACAAAGTCATGCACATGTTCTTTTTGTTTTGTTGTGTGTGTGTGTGTGAGCTGCCTAGTCGCGGCCCGACTAATGTTCGGACGGCTTTCGACCCGCCTCGCGAGCTTGTTGACCAACAAGTGTGTGTGTGTGTGTGTGTGTGTGTGTGTGTGTGTCTGTGTGTGCGCGCGCGTGCGTGCGTGCGTGCGTGCGTGCGTGCGTGCGTGCGTGCGTGCGTGCGTGCGTATGTATGTGTGTGTGTGTGTGTGTGTGTGTGTGTGTGTGTGTGTGTGTGTGTGTGTGTGTCTGTGTCTGTGTCTGTGTCTGTGCCTGTGCCTGTGCCTGTGCCTGTGTGTGTGTGTGTGTGTGTGTGTGTGTGTGTGTGTGTGTGTGTGTTCGGCATGCCGACATGGGCGGAAGAGGGGGCGTGGAAAGGGGGGGATGGATCTGGACCTCTGCTTAATTGAGCTGTTTGCACCAGTGCGTGCTATGGTGGAAACTCCAACTGCTTGAGACAGGCGCCAAAGACAGCCAGGATCTACTCCATGGGGGGGTGCGAGGGCCCGCGCCGATCGGCACAACTTTTGTTTCGTCGGCGGCTAGGCAGGGGTCGTCTGCACTTGGCCACCATGCAAGAGTAGCGGGGGAAGAGCGGGCGGCCGCGGGAAGGGGAAAAAAGGGGCGAGGGCAGTTCAAGGGGACGGGTCACGCCCAGAGCGGCGGCGGCAGGCGCGGCCGGCCCCGCAGGCGGGGACTGAGGCGGCTGCTGCGCCAGGATTCCAACGGGTGCGGGGCTCACTGCGGGTACCAGAACGAGTACATCAAGTCGCTAGTCAGGGAACTTCCCAGGGGCGCGAAGTGCCAGGCGGCGGGCCGCCAGGGGGATGCGCTGAAGGTGCGGCAAGGAGTGCGTCCAGCAAAATGCTGGGCCAGCGTGGGGTGGCGGGCGGCAAGACCAGGCCCGGGTCCCCGGCGTGGCGGCTGCAGGCAGCAGCTCAGCGCCATTGCGGCGCGCGGAGGGAGGGGGAGCGGGCGGGGAAGGGAAGAAGCGAACACGGAAGAGGACGCCCCGCCTGCAGGAGTCCCCGCAGACGGGGCGGCGATGCCGGGCCGCGCCAGCGGCGGCGGGCTGCGCCGCGCGCTGCGCGGTGGGGTGAATGGGCGCTGCCAACTAGCAGGCGGGTGGCTCGCGAGAGGCCCCCGTTGGCCAACTGGGCAGGGTGGGCCAATCGGCGAGCCAGGGCGGCCGGTGGCAGCCGGGGGACGATAGCGGCGCCCAGTGTAGCCAAAATAACGGCAAGCCCAACGGCCCCCGATGAAGAATAGGACCGGGTGTGCCGGGGGGGCATCTAACAGGTGCAGTGTGGTGAAAGAGAGAAAGGCACCCCCCGTGCCCAGGTGAAGAGGGTGGGCCGCGGGGGGGCCAGGGCGGCCACTCGCTTTGGCCAGTCAAAACTGCAGCCGAAGCTGATGACCCTCAGCCCGGGTGGGCAGGGTGGGCCAAAAATCGGCACCTAATCGGTGCAAGACAGGTGGGCAATAACACCAATCGGCAAAACAATGAGTTAGAAAACGACCACTATCGATTCAGTTGTCTTCTGCCGCTGGGAAAACTGTAATAGAGGACGATCGAAATCCCAATGGTGAAGACGACGAGCACGTCTATAATCAAATCGCACCCAGGGCGCTGCTGCGTGGCGGGCCCTGCCAAACACGCCTTCATCGTTAGCACCAGGTAGGCCCCGCAACCCACGCCCCTTTTGGCGTCGCGGCCACGCGCGCGCGGCGGCGCGGCGTAGAACAGGTCGAGCGAGCGCATGTACCAGCCCCTTTGCGACCCGCCCACCCGTTGTTTTTGCTCGGCAACCGATCGCGCGGCGTCTCGGCGGTGACCTGCAGTATGGGCAGCGGAGCCAGGACGAGTCAGCACAGGGATGGCAGGGAGAGAAAAGGCGGAGGAAACCATGACCGCGCCGAAGGCGGCGGGGCCGAGGGAGCAGCGACCGCGTATGGGCGGCCGCCAGATGAGGCGCAAGTCAGGACGAAAGGCAGCCCGCAAAGCGCGCGGAGGACCGCCGTGATGATGGCGCGGCAACGGGCGAGAAGGCAGCGTTCACGGAGCAGCGACCATGGCGGCCAGAGGGCAGTGGCAGAATGGCAGGCGGCAGCGTGGCACGTACCACCGACAAGTGGGCTGAAGGGAGGCCACGGGCAGCCACGGGGAGGCGGCAAGCCCCGAAGAGAGTCAAGAAAACGGTTGCCGGCGCCGCCCCGCCCTGCGCGTGTGGCACTGTGGCGTGGGCGCCGTCGACGACGGCCCACCGCGCGCCACGAAGATCCGCAGACGCACGGGTGGTCCGAGAGCGGGCGGCCGCCCAGACGAGACAGAGGCAGCGCCGCAGGACACGGCGGCCCTGCGTGCCAGGCGGCGGCCCGCCCCTGGGGCGAGGGGCGGCCGCGCCAAGGCGAGGGGCCCTGGGGCGGGCGCGGCTGTGGAGAGGCGGCGCGGGGACGGCCTGAGGGATGTGGAGGGCGGGCCCGCAGCAGGGAAGGCCCACGAGGCCGCTGAGGAGAAGCCCTGCGGTGCCTTGGCCGAGCGCTGCGGGAGCAAGACGACGAGGCAGCGTCCGAGGTGGCGGGTGGCGGCCCGCGGTGCACGGGGCGTGCCGGCCGGCCCAGCGGGGCGAGGCACCTGCGGAAGCGGCCGCTCGGCAAGCGGCGGCCGCCGCGGCGCCTGGACGGCCCGATGCAACAGCCTCCAAACACACAAGAAGCCTCTGGTCTCAGCCAGCGCTGGCCGCTTCTGCTGGCGGTCGTGCGTCCCTCCGTGTTGGGCCTGCCGTTGCGCAGCCGATGCCGCCCACTGCTGCACCCCAAGAGGCGGGACTCACTGCTCAAGCCGACTGGAGCGGGGACGTCGGCGAGCTCGGGCCCTCGATCCTGGCACGCCGCGGCTCATTTCGTCGTGTGCGCGCGGCGCGCCCTGCACGCTTGCGCTTCCGACGCGCCAGCGAGGTCCAACTAGCGGTAGCATCAACCACGGGCAGTGGCAAGATAATCCTACTTCGGGTTTCTTCATAAGCGTGGGGGGTACCCCCCGACGGGGGTCGACCTCGCCGCGTCGTCGCGCCACGACGGGGGTCGATGTGGGGCTGTCGGCGAGGGTGACGCCCCCCTGACGCTTCTCAAGAAACTTGGAGTACCCCTTTGTGGAAGCGTGGAAGAAACCGAAGATGACTCTTCACACGCGCATGAGCGTCCCAGACGGACCACATGCCCACGGGTGCCGCCGCTCTGGAGCCCGCGGAGGCCGGCGACGGCAGGCAGGTGCCGCGGCCGCAGGCTCTCGCGAGAGGGAGCCCCCGCGCGCGGCGGCGGGCCGCTCGGCGGGCGAGCGGCCCGAGCGCCGTAAGGGGCACGCCGGCGGGCCGCGTCGGGATGTCGGCGGGTGGGCGCGGCAGCCGCGAGCGCAGCAGATAAAATTCATTTCACCCCCATAGTTATCACCCCGACACGCGAAGTCGTTTCGTAAACGCACCCAAAGAAGGATTCGGACAAGGAAGGGTCGTGTAGTCAATTGTCCGGTCCGGGTGGTTTCCCCTCCCTTCAGCAGAGGCGCAGAGCAACTCGCGCACGCGCAACCCCACGACGGGCACGCTTGCACGTACGCCTGCTTTAACGTTATGTTGCTCCCATCGTGCTTAAGGACCACATCCCAAACATAGTTTCGAGCACCCAGAAAAGTATCGAATGAGTGTCGAACGAGTATCGCCTCCCAGGGCCAGACACGTGAAAACCCTCACGTTTCGATACCTTCGTGGTGCTCGACATTCTTCCTGGTGTTCAAGGCTAAAGTAGGTTGGAACATCGTAATTCTAACGTCTGCACTCGCAATTTCATGTGCGTTTACGATTGCACACGAGTTTTTGCACATACTTCGGACTTGCCCTTTCGCTTGCACGCGCTCCCGCACGTCGAAGAGGGGGGGGTGTGCCCACGCGGCTCCATCTTGTCCTCGGGGGCACGTGCAGCTCAAGATAACATCAGACGTTCGTGTGGAGGAGGTATGCAGTGGACTCGGTGGAACTAGCAAGGGAGAGTTGGCAACGTATGAGGAGGTAGGAAGGGGAGTTATTGGTGGAGTTAGTGAGATGAGTCAGCGGAGTGAGTTCGGCTCGAGGGTGGGAGTGAAAGGGGAGAAAATAGTGTAGCTCGCACGGGGAATTTGGAAGGTCCTGCTCGCGGATCCCTGCGCCCCCTCCCTTCTTTGTCTCTCTTAGTTTCTGCTGCGGGGTCGTACGCACGAAGCACACACGCGCTCACATAGACGCCCGTGCGCGCGCAGGCACGCGCGAGGGGGGGCTCATCGTGTACTGTGCAGGTGTGCACTCGCATACGTGAACACAAGCGTAGGCGGCGAAACGCCATAAGCCAATTTGCAGAGATACGGGCATGCCTCTGGGGCCTGGAAGCGAGGGTCTGCCGCATGGATCTGCCGCTGCCGTGTACGCACGAGGCAACTGCTACCGCGCTGGCAAGGAAACACATAGCACATAGTACTGGCGGTACCGCCAGGCAAGCTGTTGCCGCGCATGTCAGAACACTAAAGCGGATCACGTCCGAAACGGGGCCGCACACGCGGCACGTCGAGAGAAAAACACGAGGCGCCAAGCGAAGCGCTGGGCCCCTCCTGCCGCGCCCCTGCGGCGCGTCGAGGGCAGGCGAGAGGGGAAAACCTCAACCCACTCAGCGCCAGGGTCGGGGGACCGGAGGTGAAAGGGGGAAGGAGGGATGGGAGGAGGAGCAGGAACAATGAGCATCCGATCGGTTCGAAACGAGCATCGGGTCGGGCTGCATCGGCTCGAGGGCGAGATCGAATTGAATCGGCGGCGCCCAGATGCACAACTGCGCTCTGCCGGCACCGGGCGAACTTGATATCGGGTCGGATCGCTTGGAATAGGCCTTGGGGGGGAGGGGGAGTGGAGGGAGGGTGGAAGGGACGGACGAGGGGGGCAGGCGAGGGGCCGGGGAGGGGAGGGAGCGATCAGGAGCGATCAGATGAAAGGACAGCGTACGTCCACAAACGGCGCGGGCCTCGGTGACCAGGCCCGCTTGAGGGTTAAAACTGAGGCCTCAGTGTTAACCCTCGGAAGTGGCAACTTGAGCCACTCCCACGGGGGGTGGAACGCGACCACTCGTCGACGTCGTCTGGGTCGTTCCACCCCCCCTTACACCGAGGCCAACAAGTCCTAGTGACTCCGCCTCTCTCACCGCTCTTGGCGGTCCCGACGTCCACGCCGAGCACGCCGACGGGGGTTACGGTCCCCCACCCTCAGACGTAGAGCGACCTCTTAGCGAAGCCGAAGTCGCTAGGGGAATAGCGGGCCCCCACCGCCTGAACCAGCCGGGTACAGCACCACGAACTGGCCGAAGAGCGCCGCGGCCGAGTCTTAGTCTGGGTGCTCGGTCTTGCACTCTTCGTCGCACAGGAAGGCCCTCGGGTCCAGGTCGCCCTCGTCGAACGCCTCCTGGATGGCCTTCGCATGGGCCTCCTTGGCGCACTCGAGCTGCGCCTCCAAGTTGATGATTTCCATGGCCCACTTCTGGATGTCGCGGGTGAACTCCTGCCCCGCCCTGCAGCCCAGCTGGTCGGAGAGCGCGCACGTGACCTCGTCGACCTTCTCCACCTGGGAGGGGGCCTCCACCACGGTGCCCTCGGACCCAGTGTCGAAGAGGTTCGGCTCCTTCTGGCCATCGCACTCGGCCTCCTGCTGCTTCCACGCCTGCTTGAGCTTGTCCTTCTTCTCCTCGAGCTTCTCCTTCTGGATGCAGCCGTCCTCGAACTTCGTCACCCGCTCGCGGCACTCCTCGTCCGAGACTTGGCTGCTGGTGGCGGCAGCACGGAGGGCCGCACCAGCACGGTGCCTGCCTCTCTGCCGCCGCTTCGCCTCCTTGCCATCCTTCGGCAAGGCCTCCGCTCCTTCCCCAAAGAGCGCATGCTCGGCCACGTTCCTGATGGCCTTGTCCTCGCCCGTGAGGCGCAACGGCTCCACGTCGTGCGCTGCGCGGACCTTCGCCGCGATGACGGGCTTGATCATCCCGATCCTGGCGTCCACCTCCTCCAGGACCTCCTTCTCGTCAGCCTCCTGGGCAGACGCAGCGCGACCCGCGCGCCACAGGGCGACCGCCGTGGCCGCCACCACCTGGCGGGAGCCGCCCGCACGAACCACCGCGCCGAGCAGCGCCTCCGCCATTGCATCGGACATGGGAGGAGCAGAACCGCGGCCAGCTCAGCCTGGGCAGGCGAACAGGCTCTTGAGCCAAAATGGCTACGGACCAGGGGAGGGGAGGGAGGAGGGGCGAGGGGAGGGCGGAGGCGAGGGGGGCACAGGGGCGAGGGGAGGGAGGAGGGGCAAGGGGAGGGGCGAGGGGAGCGCAGAGGGCTGGGAAGGGAGGGAGGGGGGCGAGGGCTGCAGGCGAGGGGAGGGCGGAGGGAAGGCGCAGGGAAGGGCGGGGGGCGGGACGCAGGGAGGGGAGGGTGAGTGGGGGAGGGCGAGGGCGAAGCAGGTGGGGGTGGAGGGCGCAGGAGGGGGCGAGGGAGGGGAGGGGAGCAGCGCCAAGGGAGGGGAGGGAGGCAGGGCGAGGCGAGCCCGTCACTGCTAGCAGTTGCCGTCGGTGCTGTCCGCGGTCGAGGGCAGGCACGAGGGGAGGGAGCCCTGCCAGAC